GTATATGCGAGACTGGACGAAGGAAGCGAACCGGCGAAAGAACCGATAAGTAGCCTCGAGAATCACCCCGAGGCGTACCGAGAAAGGGAGGCGGAGCCGCATTCGGGTCCGATGTTCCCCGCCATACAGCTCCCTCGTATCAGTTGTTCTCAGTCGGACCACTTGCGAGGGCATGGGCTGAGCACACCGCAAGCACCGAGTTTATGGAGGGGCGCACCTTCTGTGAGTTTTCAGCAGCAATATCTTTGGTAGTGACGGGCAGGAGCATATTACACACATATATATACCTAGATGGAAATATTTTCAGATTGTTGTATGTTGGCCATGGGAACGAAGGACTGATGCTGTTAACGGCGCAATGTGATTCTTGAAAGCGTTCTCGCATGTGAATCGATACTCTCAGTCACCATGATATAGCTATTCTTCTTTGATAAGTAAGTAACAACAAAACTGACAGCATACTCTCTTAGTTCAGTCTGACAAAGCCATTGGCGGGTGGCAGTAGAAGACAAGATACCCGTAGACCTCAAAAGTACTCGTAGTAGGCCAACCGCTCGGGCCCCACGAGGAACCCCACATGCGGGGATGACAGATGACATGATCAAGTGATGCAAGGATTCTGGACCAGTAGCGATACTTTCCAACGTCAAGGCTAGACTAATATCTGTTGATTCGACCGCTAACTGAATACATCTGAGTCAGTAACTAATACTAGTTTGGCGTGGCTGACTCAGGAGAAGGGAGGGGCATCGTATACCCGCTTCAAATAGTCGCATAGCGTTTCTTCACAAAACCCAGCCAGGAAATATCATGCCCTGCAAAGAACTTCATTACGCCGAGACTTTTGCGTCACATTCGACTTCACCAGAGTACCTCCGCTATCAAGGGCTGACGAGTATCCTCGAACCACTAATACGTCTTTACATCGCCATGACGCCATGCCCTCTAAAACACAACAACCATGCAACTTTGAACAAAAAGCCTTCCATTGCCATCTGGCATGATACAATATTCTTATCTTTTCGACCCAGTTATCTATGAGTGTTCCATAGATAGCTCCATCAACTCAGAAGTACGGGGAATAACTCGCCATCGAGCGGAGCAAGGCACAGATACTATACTATGAAAGTAGCATGATCTCATCCCCTAGCCTTCCCTCCCCGGGGCCCCCTCTCCGCCAGGGGAGGGAGAAAATGGCAGCATATAAGCCCCCATCCCAGTACTGTACAATCCCCCCCCCAAGAAACGATCTCCCACCCCGAAGAAAAATCCACTATCTCAGACCCCAATCTCACATCTCCTTAGTTCATTACCGAGCACACACACACACACACACACACACACACACACACACACACTCAAAACTCAAAACTCAAAAGACTACTCAGCTATTTGAAGAAGGAAAAGAAACATGCCCCCTAAACCAATCAACTCGCCCCGGCTGCACCCCAAGAAGGTCGACGGGTTCGTGCGCCGTGACGACGCCCCGATCGACGACGAGGAGGCGTGGAAGTCGCAGGAGGAACACGATAAAGAGGGTGGGGGGCTGGCGTTCGACGCACCGAGACGTCTTACGGCGAAACATATCACTCATCAGCCGGTGATGGATCCGGAGCTGCGTTTTTATGCGGATTGTTACGGGATGACGGGGCATTGAACCCTTTTCTTTTGTGTGCTTGAAGGGGCTGGCTCTAAGGTGATGTGGTGTTTGGGGGTGAAGTAGCTTGCGTTCTATTACATGTTGGGGATGGATTCGTCATTTTTTTTTTTCAAAGTTGCTGTTGTTGCTGTGATGAAGTATTGTCTAAGACATGATAGATATGGGATTGTATGTGTAGAGTTGAGTGGGTGGAACGGTGGATAGATCTAAATTTGTTTGTCTAATTCCGATGGTTATTCAATAGGTCATTCTCACATTATATACACAAATATCTATCAAGAAGTACTAGGTCCTCTAAAAGTTTTTACAGCATGGGCTTGAGGTCCTCGGCGACCTTGAAAGGAGCAGCAGTCTTGCTGCGGATCTCCTCGACACTCACGCCCTCGGCGTGCTCGACCAGGGTCAGACCCTCGGTGGGGCTGACCTCGAAGACGGCCAGATCGGTGATGATCTTCCACACGCAGCGGGGACCGGTGAGGGGGAAAGTGCACTCGGACAAGATCTTGGGGTTACCCTTCTTGTCGGTGTGTTCCTGTTTTTCGAGTCGAATTAGTGAACTGCATTGGAGATTGAAGGGGGTTTGGGCGGGGAGTGCTTACCATAGTAACAACAACCTTGGTCTTCTCAGGGTTGGCGACCAAGTCCATGGCACCACCGACACCCTTGACCTTACCGGGAAGCATGAAGTTGGCCAAATCTGGAGAGACCGAATCAGCAATTGCGATCGACGTAGACACGGGTACCGGGATACTCACCTCCGTACTGGCTGACCTGCAGAGCACCGAGCATAGTCAAGTCAATGCGACCAGCGCGAATCATTCCGAAACTCTCGTGGGAACCGAAGAGAGAAGCACCGTTGTCCAAAGTGACAGTCTCCTTGCCAGGGTTGATCAAGTCGGGGTCCTCCTGGCCGGGCTGGGGGTAGCCACCCAGACCCAGGATACCGTTCTCGGCCTGGAGGACGACCTCCACACCCTCGGGGAGGTAGGCGGGAGCAATCAGGGGCATTCCGATACCGAGGTTGACGTACATGCCATCGCGGAACTCCTTGGCGGCACGCTTGACGATGCGCTCGCGGCGGGCGGTGGCGGCGCTGTCACCGGCCTGGAGCAACTCGCTGGGGTCCTTGGCGAAGGTGAGCTTCTCGATCTGCTTCTCGCCGGTGCTCTTGATGACCTTGTTGACGTAGATGCTCTGGATGTGGATGTTCTCGGGAGCGATCTCGCCAACCTCGACGATCTCATCGGCCTCGACGATGGTGTACTTGGCGTTCTTGGCCATGGCCTCGTTGAAGTTGTTCATAGCCTTGCGGAACTGGCAGTTACCCAGCTTGTCGGCCTTGTGGACCTTGACCAGGGCGTAGTCGCCGAAAATCGATTCTTCCAGGAGGTATTGCTTGCCGTTGAATTCGCGGGTTTCCTTGGGCTTGGACGTGAGGGCCACGGTGCCATCCTTGTTGTAGCGGACGGGGAGTTCACCAGTTTGTACTATGTCCCTGGTTAGCTGGAGTCACTTCGGGCTGGTCGGCAGTCATGCGCAAACATACCGATAGTTCCATAAGCAGCGGGGGTATAGAAAGCAGGGACACCAGAAGCACCAGCAGCGCACTTCTCAGCGATAGTGCCCTGGGGAGTCAATTCCAATTCGAGATCACCGTTCAAGTACATCTTCTCGAAGACCTTGTTTTCACCGATGAAAGACGCAATCATCTTGGTGATCTGCTTGGACTCAAGCAGTTGACCTGCTTACAGTCAGAATGAAGTCCTCCGCTATGTCTCCGGTGCAATTGGACCTACCAAGACCACGACCAGGCATGCCAGCATTGTTAGAGACGACAGTCAGATCCTTGATATCCGGGCGATCGCGCACAGCATCGATCAATGTGTTGGGGACACCCGAGAAACCGAAACCTCCGACCAGAACCGTGGAGGCCCCCTTCATTTCCTTGATGGCTTCCTGAGCCGACGGGCAGATCTTGTTAATAGCTCTTTGCGAGGTAGACGCGGAGAAGTTCCGCCGCCATACGGGGCGGAACACGGCGGGGACCGCAGGGAAAGGCCGCGACATGATTGTCGATCAGCCTGGCCAAATGTGAATTGAGTACAAAACTGGGGAAGGAAGAAAAGAAAGAGAGTAAAAAAAAATGAAGGAGAGGAATTGGGGGTGTAGAAGTACTAGTCGAAGAATCCCCGGGTCTTGTCCTTTGGGTAACCATTAGCTGCATAGCTCGTCTCCGTTTCGGCTAGTGACCACCGCCACGCAGCCGACAAAAGCGATTATCCGCCGAAACTCCAACTTCGCTTTGCCGCCTTCCGAAGCCGACCCCACTGCGCCCGTGACTGCTGGCTCGTATTGTTTTGTACGTCTTGCCCGCCCATGGGGGAGAAACGTTCAACCCTGCGGGGGTGGACGGGGGATCGCGCACAGGGCTCACGCGACTCCGATCGGGCTCGAATAAGGTATTCGCCATTCCGATGAAGAGTCACCGAGGCTAGAACATTTTCAAGATCAACCGGAGTCACTCGAGGTGAGATTCATGGTTTTCTTGGGGTTTGCTACACCAGAAGTCCCTGGGCATGCTCACTGGACGAACCCCGTTATGATTACCGCGTATTTTACGATTCCGAAAGCGGGAAGGGCATCGGCAAGCCTCTGGAGGCGATGGCAGTTGGCCAACTGCGAGATCGGGTGAAATCGCACCTGCTCACGGGATCTCAAGGAATTCATTGCCGATGGAATCCGACGAACAGACAGACTGTGGGGTGGATCTGCCGAATCCTGGGGTATTCCTGCCCATTGAGTCTCATCTTACCGTCTCAGCAATAATGATCAGGGACTTATGACTGGTGATACCTGAAAGACAAATCTTCAGTAGCGCTGTTCTACAATCGTACCGTGATTGCGGCAATATCTTATCAAGATGGTAATGGAACTGCCGAGGTGCATTAGCATCATTTTTCCTCTCCTTCCATTGGTCGAGGCCAAGGTAGATTTCAATCCTCGGTCTCGGTTTGCCTAACCTAGTGCCTTCCCGTCTAAAGTTCCCCACATCTCAGTAGTCTGTGCCTGAGGATGAGCATAATCTGTTTTTCAGCACGAATTGGCTCAGCAATGGAAGCTCTCAACTGCGCCAGCAGCATCCGTTCTCTACTACCAAGATCCTTGTGAGCGAGCGGAAGTTGTTCTGTGGTCGTCAATACCCACGGAAACTACACCGCCAGTGTCATCTTGCGAGCCATTATGACGTGAAAACGATGAAAACCATACATGGCTCGGAGTTGATGAGATTCACATGCCATCATCTCACATATATCAACTGAACTACCTATCAAGGTGCCAGCTTACGCATAGTCCGGCAAGACAATCACCCAACTCGTTTCGACTCATAAGTCACAAGCAAGGCTTACCCACCAGAAGACTCAGGTCCACAGCCCACTTCTCGCGGACAAACACACTCGCGCACCCGACAGAATGCCCTTCTACGTCCACATTTCAAACCGTCACAATGGCAATTACCCCGGCGAATGGCATCGCTGGCTGTTGACCGCCGCCACCCGGGACGATGCGAAGAGATTCTACTGGGGGCTGCACAAGTACACCAAGACAGACAATGCAAGCATCAAATCTGTCCAGGCCGAGACCATGGAATGGTGGAACTACGACGCCAGTGACGGCTTCAGTCTCCAGAACCTCTATAAATGGATCCAGCAGAAGCAGACGGACCAGTACAAGAACATCCAAGAACTTACCGACACCCGCGAGAGGACCCTTCTCACCATATTGCCGGATACCAACTTTGAAGACAGATTCTGACTGGTTCTGCCCGGATTTCAGGATACGTCGATTGAGGATCTGTGGGAGGATTGAGCTCGTCTTTGAGGGACCAACCACAATGTGGTCAGGATGACAATTGAGTGGGCTAGCTGCAAGTCTGATTTTGAGCATCTCTTATCGTGACCCTAATCTATGTCGTGCTCTTGGGTCGATATAATGGTATTTCATTGAGCTCAGGCTGTTTCTGTTTCAGGAATAATCAAAATAATCAGCAGCAAAGGAAGTCTATCAGATATAAGTTTTATAAGTTTATCGCTGAGGCTCCTAGTCTACAAGTCTGTTTGTACAGGATCTTTAGGCGCAGATTACTACTAGAAATAGGTCGGTTGAACTTATAACCGATACACCTCCAAGTGCAAGCTGTCCAGCCCCACACAATGACGACAAGTCGCTGGGTCACCAGGGTAACTTGCTGTTCTTTCTCCGCATCCCCGCAATGGAATGATGTCCCAGGGACTCTCACGAGTCGGGACACATTCCAATTCTCAGCAACTAAGCGTCAAATTTCTAGACTATCCTGGTTGTTCACCAATACACGTTTGCTAGTAATCTCTGCCTATTTCGCCAAAGTAGCAGCAACAATGTTAGCATCACGCTCACTTGCTCAGATAGCTCGTCTGCCTCTACCGCGAGTCCAGCAGGTCACATCTCGCAGAACAATCGGCTCTGTCAGTGCAATCGACTCGGGCATCTTTCGCACCTTATTCGGAACAGAGGAGATCCGGAAAGTGTTCGACGACGAGGCATACATCCAGCGATGCATCGACGCCGAGGCCGCGCTCGCCAGAGCCCAGTCACGATGCGACGTGATTCCCCCACGGATCGGAGACCTGGTGACGCAGAAGATACGTGAATCGCAATTGGACATGGACCGTCTGCGACAGGAAACTGAGGTTGTAGGATACCCGATTCTGCCGCTTGTTCGTCAACTGTCGACGATATGTGGCGAGGAGGCTGGCAAGTACGTTCACTGGGGGGCCACGACGCAGGATATCATGGATCTTGCCAGTGTCCTACAGATGAAAGAGGGCCTGAATGTTGTCGAGCGACTTCTCAAGGAAGTCATCCGTACTCTACGCGGCCTGTCTGTAAAATACCGTGACACGCCCATGGCAGGCCGCACCCATCTGCAGCACGCCCTGCCCGTCACCTTCGGCTACAAGTGCGCAGTCTGGCTGTCTGGTTTCCAACGCCATGCTGAGCGCTTAGAGCAGCTGAAGCGTCGGTGCTTACTGGCTCAGTTCGGCGGAGCAGCAGGGTCTTTGGCGTCGCTGGGCCCCGGGGACGACGGGCTCCGCGTACGCAGAGCTCTGGCGGAAGAGCTGGGACTGGAGAACCCGTCTATCACTTGGCATGTCGCGCGAGACGGCGTGGCGGAGATTGTGAACTTCCTGGCGCTGATGGGAGGGTCGATGGGCAAGGTGGCCCTGGATATTATCATGATGTCGTCGAATGAGCTGGGGGAGGTGTCCGAGCCGTTTGTGCCCCACCGTGGCGCCTCCTCCACCATGCCACAGAAACGCAATCCCATCTCGAGTGAGGTGATCCTTGCTGCATCCAAGATCTTGCGGTCGAACGCAGGCCTGGTTCTCGATGGCATGGTGGCGGACTTCGAGCGCGCATCGGGTCCCTGGCATTTAGAGTGGGTAGCAGTGCCGGAAAGCTTTGTGATCACCGTCGGGGCGCTGTCGCAGACGCAATTCGCGCTGTCCGGCTTATGTGTGCACAGCAAGCAGATGATAGCCAATCTGCACTCGACCAAAGGGTTGATCGTGGCGGAGGCAGTGATGATGGGTCTGGCACCGCATGTGGGTCGCCAGAAAGCACACGATATTGTCTACGAGGCATGTCGGGAGAGCATCGAGTCGCAGCAGACATTGTTCCAATGCTTGACGCAGAAGCCGGAGGTGACCTCGAAGCTGACAGAGGAACGCGTGAGCCAGCTCTGTGACCCGGTAAACTACCTCGGTGCATCGATGCGGATGGTGGATGATGTCTTGGCTGTCGATTGAGATATGCTGTTTCCTGAATGTATATGGAGGGGACTGGAAGGAGGACTTTTCTTGGCGGTGTTGATAAGAAGTGAGGGATTTCCGGGAGCGTCCACCATCCTGGCACCATTCACCATCCACCATCCACCCTCTCCCACATGGCTCCACGCTAAGGTAGTTCCTCTGCACGGACGCAGACCATGACAGGCCAGACAACTGGTAAGCATAAGTACAGAGGGCTACCCCGCATGCTTCATTTTAGATAATGTACATAGAATAATTGCTTTCTTCCCTTCCTCCCTCGACCTCAAGTATTACGCTCGTTGAGCTGGTGATGATTGTTCTACCAGCATCAACTTCAAGGCTCGAAGACTGCTACCAAACCAAACCATGGCCTTTTGAACTACATGCGTATCGCATACTGCCCGATGAACATGCATTAATCGACTGTTTTGAGGTTACTTGGAACATAATAAGGTAAATTAGCGGACGGTGGCGCATGCGCTAAACCCCATGGGGAGGCCACTCTTTGCAGCCCAGCTGAGCCCGGCTCTCTGGGAGCTTAATTTAATCCAAAATCGCAATTTGATGAATTCAAGTCATGACGATGGCATTTCCCTTGTTACCCCATCCCCTAGGATCGTGATTTTAACTAAGGTACTCAGTATTCATTGCATACCTACAGTTCACTCACTCCGGAACTCGTTTCGCCCCACTGTTTTTAGGATCGGCGAGAAACTCAGCTGGAAACCACGCTTGACCAGATCGGAGATAACCTGTCCCATTTCCCGACGGCTTAATCTTCGAAGCTCTTCAGAGTTCAAACAATCTTCCTCTTCCCCTCACACTTTGGTTGCAAGAATCTTTCCCTCCTTGGATTTCGACCTGTACTCCTTCCGCATGGTGCAACCTCAATGCATTCTTCTGTGTGACTGTCTCTTTGACATACCCACCTCAGTGGCTCCCCGACGAGCAGAATCATGGTCATGAAGCAGTGTACTATCTGCGATCGGCAATTCAAGAAAACAGAGCATTTCAAGCGCCATGAACGGTCGCGTATGGCAATCTCCCCGTGGGGCTAAATTCACACTGATGCTCATATATACTAGACACGAAAGAGAAGCCCTACCAGTGCAGTGTTTGTTTGAAGCGGTTCTCACGGAGGTGAATCTGGTGCCCCAAATTGTTGCGCGCGGTCTGATCACTGACCCCCGGGGCTCTCTTGCAGTGACGTCCTGAGTCGCCATGCCAAAGGCCACAAGAACCCCCGCAAGGAGGAGACAAGCGAACCAAAGAGTCTTCAGGCTGCCTCGCCGGCCACTATACCGCATAATGATCGAACACCGGTTATTTCGCATGCCAGCCAGCAGGGCATGCAGGGAATGAGCCCCAACGATCTCCAACAGATGCAGAATCTCCCGTCGCACCGAGGCACGTCGCTGCCCGCAACGCCGGGGATCCCATCATCGTCTTTGGACTTTTTGGCCAATATATCCACCCACCAACCTCGCACGGAACCAGAGGTCAATCAAATGATGCCTGACGAGCAACAACATCAATACTTCGGATGGAACCACATCTCCGGCCCGGACCAGCAATACTTCAGAGGAACCATACTCGATCCAATGCAGAATGACTTGCTGCAGTTCTGGCTGGAGCCCCGTGGAGACTCGATTTCGCACAATGGTTCCCTGGACATGATGGGAGAGCCAATTGGCAGCCTCCCAGGTGGAGATTCCGTGTCAACACCTCAGCAGCACCAACAGCAATTCTCAACCGATGGTGAGACCTCAAAATCGGGGAACCTGATCCCGAATGAGCGATTCTCTCGCGTACAGCGCTATTGGCTCGCTCCAGCAAATAACACCGGTCGCCTGATGAACGGCCTGTGGCGAGATGTAGCCAGCAGTGACATGAACAACATATTCACCCTGTCGGCAACACCCCCGTCAGGTGGCCCAGTCGGACCACAGGGATCGAGGTATGGGCTTGACGAAGCGTGTAGGCAACGCCTCTATCTTGCTTTTGGACAAACCGAACAGTCGCAGCTGCATGTGCTGCCTGGGACCAACACGCTTCCTTCCTTGGCTTCGGGCTCCATTCCAAAGAACCACAACTTTCCCCCAGCCGAGGTACTCGATATGGCGCTCGACCTTTACTTCCGCGAATTCCACCCACTGGTGCCTTTCATCCATGTTCCTACCTTTTCTGCAAGCGATACGCAGCCTGCGGTACTGTATGCTATGTGTCTCATTGGAATGGTCTTACTGGGGACTAGAGGAACAATGGATTTCGTTTGCAGGAACTTCTCGGTGGGTGAGCAGGACTTCACACGCTTGGTGCTTTGCTGATCAACGAGCCCAACAGTTGATGCTTGAGCGCCTCACGGCCGATCTCGCTAAGTGTTCGGTGGGCGTGGAGAACTCGGTGTGCACCGTCTCTACCTTTGCCGCCTGCTTTCTGTTTCTCAACCTGGCTGCTATGACTGGGGTATGTCATTTCCAATAAGTATCTAGGACTTGCTGACAGTGCGCAGGAGAAGGAACATCTCGAAAAATGTCAGATGCTCTATGTCAATCTCATATCGGTAAGTACCGGAAGACATGATAAGTGTTGGCAGCTCGGCGCTAATATCCATGCAGATCGCGCAACGGCATGGTCTTTTCGCCGCCACAGAAGGACAAGTGCTTGATATGAACCTTTTCGACACCTTTACTGATGTTGAGACGAGGTGGAAAGCCTGGAGCAAGGTAGAGTCTGTGAAAAGGTCGGTACATCGCACCATTCTTTTGTGGACTTGGCTAATTGTTTAGATTAATTACCGGTCTGCTGCTATTGGACTCTTGGTATTCTTCATTTATGTCCACGAGTCCCATTGTCGTGCCCGATTCAGTCCAGTTATTACTGCCATGTGACGACGCACTTTTCCGAGCCATCACGGCCATGCGATGGATGCAGTTGATATGTAGCGGGAAAGGCATGCTAATGCCTACGATTGTGGCACCGTCAGAAAGCGTGGGCCTTCCCGAACTGGAGAGCCCGGTCGACGACTTTTGTATGCACGCGGTGCTATCACTGGTGCAGTTGCGGCTCTCTGAAGCCTACTACCGTCTTCTCTCGAACAGACCACAATTCCCCTTCGCGCCGTGCCACACTTACAGTATGGATCCTCGTGCCAGGTGTCTCGCGCCTCTCCAGCTGCAGATCGCCGACAAGTATGGAGACTTACTTGCTCGATTGAATCCCAATGCGGCTGTGACGTGGCACAATATGTGCTTGACGCTGTCGGCAGACACCCAGATCTTTGATCTAGCGGCAGGGCGATCAGGTCCAGCTCCTGGCCGGAAAGCTTTGGCTGACATTGCCGCGTGGTCGCAGACACCGGCTGCCAGACGAGCCTGTCTACATGCGGCTCATATCTACAGGGTGTTGACGAACCGCAAGACTTCCGACCATATGATGTTCCACTCAGTCTTTTCTCTCTTCTCCGCGGCGCTAGTCCTGGGACTCTATGTTTTCATGGTGCCGAATGTCGCTGATCCGCAGGGAGGGGGCACTGCGATCGAGCTTTTCGATGATATCGACTGGCAGAAGGTGGGTACTGAGGGACTTACCAATTACATGGTCCCGCACGGCAGTCAACCTTTTTCGCTGTCCGATGAGCCGGCTGTGAACTTCATCCGCAACGGGGGGACGGTGTACCTCCGAGGGATGCCCATTCAAGGCGGATATCAGTCCGCACGACGCGTTCTGCTGGACTATGCCGGGTTGTTGAGAGACGCTGGCAAATGGAGCGTGCGCAAGTTTTCTTATGTGCTTCACATCATGAGCGATGTGTTAATGGACGTAGAATGAAGCGTCAAGTGGCCACTGGCAAGGGTTATTGACGTTCATCCTATGCGTGCTTGGATTGACTGGCCCAGGTCACGGTCACAAGTTTAGTCTCGAAGACGCTCCGGTATGTAGTGGCATTGATCAGCCGGCTGAACAATCCCCACTGGTGTCATGAGCGCACAAATGGTCACTTTGCTTCAAAAGTGATTGCAATTATGATCCAAACTTCTGTACAATAACAAACAGGCCAGACGCCGAACAGTATCCCATGAGAAACACGAATGAAATTATTTAATCTTTTTCCGAATGTTCAGACCCAAGACCGATTCCTGACCCTCTCATTCAAAAGCTCCAACTCCTCCTTGGAGACAACGAGTCCTTTCAGCATTTGCTCATTTGCCAATTCCCCAACATCAAGCGACTGATGATGATGATGATGCTCCCCGGCCAACACGACCCTCGAGCACCCCCTCTCAGGTCTCCCTTCCGCAAACCACAACCCCTCCCCTCGATCCTCCTCCCCACCACCGCAGCTGCTAATCGTACTGGTGGTACTTGCACGCCGCACCTGCAAATGCTCCGCCTCGCCTTCCCCTTCCACGCCGACCACCACCGGCAGGGGGCCCTCGATCTCCCCTACCCATTCCCCCTCCTCACTCTCACTCTGCCCTCCCACACTGCCCCTCCCACACCCCCTCCGCCACCCCCCATTACCACCACTACCAACACCGCAATCATGATCGCAAAAATCCCCCGTAAACTTCGCCACGCTGATCCCATTGCACCGGGCGTGCGGCATGTGCAGCACGTCGCGCAGCACGAGCGTCGTCGTGCGCGGGTCGTTGGGCGCCCGCCGCACCCGCAGCTGCACGGTTCCCACGCCCAGCACCCGCTGGTTGGCGATCTTGCACGGCGCCCGCCGGTACGTCTCGAACGAGGCGCGGTTCTTGGCGAAGTGCGTGTTGCTGCTGGCCGGGAGGAGGAGCCAGTCCCAGCATCGCGCCGAGGTGGGGGCTGGTTGGTGTTTTCGGGCGCGGCGGGTTGGTTTCTGGATCTTGTTGGGCAGGGTGGAGGTGGTTTGGGGGGGTTGTGACGGGGTGTGGATGTTGTTGGGTTTGGAGGGGGATTGGAGTTGGGGAGGCATGTTGGGGTTATAGCTGGCTGGCTGAGGTTGTGGGTTGTTGGATATCGGTTGGTTGTTGGGAGGTTGGTGGTTTCGCGGAGGATAAGGTGTGTGTGTGTGTGTTGTCGAGGGAGGAGGTGGTTATGCGTTTGTGGGATGTAGGATAGTATAGTATAGTATAGTAAGGTATACCAGTGAATGTAAGTGACGGGGAGTATATGTATACCAAAGATGGAGTATGTACTCTCCAAGAATTGGAAAAAAAAAAGGTATATGTGCAGAGCAGGAAGAAGCTGGGAAACAAAGAATCGATTGACTACCTCCCTCCCTCCCTCCTTCTCCACCTCCTACTACTAAAGTACAGAGGAAAAGGAAAGGAAAGGGTCTGGTGGATCAGCCACTGCAGGGTCTCCAACTGCACTGCACAACGCGTCAACCAGCAAGGGTCTGGTCTGGACTGGACTGTGGCAAACCCACCCTGCCGATTCGGGAAGGGATCCATTGTCTCAGCTTTCACTTGGATACGAAGCACAGTACGTAACATGGATGTGACTCCTTACATGAACCCCCGTATATATCGGACCTATGCGGAGATGTACAGTATACGTTCTCTATTAATGTCTTAGAATAGAAGTGTAACTAGTGGTTTGTTTGTCAAACGAGCCCCCTTTTTGATGCGGTGATTGTTGCAATGGCATAACCTGACAGACGTCTTTGCCAGTTGTGTCCACCCCCCCGAAAGTCTTGACGTCACGTCCGCTGCGATGGCGAACCCACTTGAGCTTGCTGAATAAGGTTGTGGTGGGGAGGGAATGCCGCTCTTTGACAGGAGACCCGATTTGAGGGTTGGTTTGGGTCTTCCAGAGCATACCTTATCGAGTACTGTGTACTGTGGTAGATAATGAATAAGGAATAAGGAATAAGCAATCTGTATGGCTGAGACCTGGCTGCCAATTCCTTCATCAAACTAGCCCGCTTGTTCTTCCATCGCCTTGCTGTATGACTTGGTTTATGTATCTACAACTGCTTTCTTTGCATTATATACATGGACTTGATCGCTCTAGTAGAGCATCTCCTTCACCATCTTACCAATGGCCAAACTGCTGGTCAATCCAGGGCTCTCAATGCCCAACAGATTGATAAAACCTGGGAATCCCTCCTCTTCGCGAATCTCAAAGTCCTGCCAGACCTTCGATGAGCCGAAGGAGGAACCGCTGGTCTTACTCAACTTGGGCCGGATTCCACAGTAAGACACGCTGATCGCGTTGACATCCACGTTCGGCAGATACTTCTTGATCAGAGGCAGCGCCGGCTCGAGCCGGGCTGGGTTGGGCGCCAGGTCCTCCGGACTATCCACCCACTCGGAGTCGGGGCCGAACCGGATCTGGCCGCCCATGTCGAGCGTCAGATGGATGCCCAGGCCGGCCTGCGCCTTCGTCACGGCGGGGTACACTAGCACGGAGGTTTTGGGGAACGAGGCCGCGTACGAGAGGTAGGTGCCCTTGGCGTAGTGCATCGTGCGGTGGCGCTCAGCGGGCAGCAGCATGTTGCTGACCGCGCACGCGCCGAGCCCGGCGCTGTTCACCACCGTCTCCGCCGTGATGGCCGTCTCCGCCCCGTCGGCCGACACCGCCGTGATCTCGTAGCCCTGCCCGGGGCCCAGGTGCCGCAGCCCCGTCACCCGCGTCAGGAACGCGCAGTCGCCGCCGCGGTGCTCCAGGTCCCCCTGCAGGTACGTGATCAGGCTGTGGCTGTCGAAGATGCCCGTCGTCGGGCTCTCAAGCACACCCGCCAGCGCCCGCACCTCGGGCTCCCGGCGCTCCTGCTCCTGCTGGCTCAGAAACCGCGTGGGCACCCCGATCCGCTGCGCGTGCTCGTGCATCCGCTCCAACGAGTCCCGTTCCACCGCGTCCTGCGCCACCAGCCATTTCCCCGTGTTGCGGTACGGGAGCCCCTGCCGTTGCAACAGGTCGTAGAGCATCTCCTTCCCCTGGATACACAGTCGGGCCTTGAGCGTGTCGCTGCCGTAGTATAGTCCTGCATGGATGACCTAGTCCTTGTTAGCTCAGCGGAATATCACTATGCCCAAAACCCCCAGCCCAAACCCCCCTTCAATTGTTCCTTCTCTTCAAAGTATACAACGCGCCAGTACGCATAACCAATCTCGAGCCGCAAAGAACCCAGATATGCATCAGTGTTTGAATCTCTCACCTCGGAATTCCGACTACTCGTCTCCGTCCCAGGCGCATCATGCCGTTCCAGCAAGATCGTCGACGTCCCCTCGCGACCGGCTAATTCGCGCGCCACGGCGAGTCCAACTACTCCGCCGCCTATGACCTTTCGAAGAAGACATGTATAAGCCTTCCAGTATACAAAAAAATCGTCTGTTTTGACTTACCGCATGAGTGACGTCGGCTCGGGCAGCGGCCGTGCTGGAGAAGCCGCGCCGGCGAACGAGAGGGAGGGGGAGGCTTCTGGCAAAGAACCGGGGAGTGCTTCTCGTGGCCATGGCAGATTGTTAGCAACTGCGCTGGAACGATGAGGTGGCTGTGAAGTCAAAGCATCTGAAGTAAGGATTGAGTAGGATACGGAGGATACAATTGACTTGAAGAGTACTGTGTAAGTAGGTAGGTTTTGGTTGATAGCGCGGCGGTCGCGCCGGGATGAGTTGCCCCGACGGGTCGGCCCCGGGGTCCGATTTAGGCATCTGATAACCCACTCGGGCTCCAGCTGCTGCAGCCCGCCGCAGCGATAAGTAGATAAGGATGTGGGGGGGTGCCAGAAAATACAGGGCGGAGGAAACAATTGATCTTGGGGTATGATGAAAGAGAAGCTTAGGCTGAATGAAGATGCAGCTGCATGCCATTGACTCAAGGACTAACGCAGACTGCTTTCAATTGTTCATGACAATGCCAGGTAGGTTAGGTAGCACTCCAGGCCCGCTGCAGTGTGAAGGCCCTTCTTGGAGTCAGTGGCTCCGAAATAGGAAGTTATCCTACTGGCCCGCGGCCTCCCCGGCCTGGCCTCAGGCATGACTAGACAAGTGAAATGCAAATGGTTTTATGGTACGGTAAATAGTAGCAGTATCTACTAGAGTCTATGACACGCTTAAAATTATACATATGTAGGACCAATCGATGCACACCAGAAAATAAGATAAATGCAACAAAGGATACGATCGGTTTCTTATCAAGACCGCTTCCCCACGTTCTTCAGCATCTCGTCCAAATGCTGGCTGAAGTCAGCAGGAGCTCGGAACTACCGTTGATTGAGGATGACATACCTGTTTCTGCTCAACCGCTAATTTACCTTGGGTATCCTATTTCTCGGTCAGCATAGTCACCCCTCGAAGAAATGAAGGTTCCTTACACTAATTATAGCCAGAACAAGCGAGTAATTGTTGTAAAGGAATCTCTCCCGTCTCTTCGCATCACCGCCAATACGGCTAAGCTTCGTCAGAAGGTTGTCAAACTCAGCTGTCAAGCGCTTCAAGCTGTTGGCAACGGGCTCATCATCTCCTGCATCACTGCTGAGAACCAGTATCCCATGCAATAGCTGGCCAAATCGCTGCGTGAGGAAATGAGGCGCCGACGACTTGTTCAGATCGTCGCCTCCGGCCAAGGACAGAGCGGATACCGCACTACGACCCGTATTCCCGGCCACTCGTTTCAATGATTCGCACTGGGTGTCCATGATGACCTGGAATCGTGGCCATAACTGCATGTTCACTCCGTTGATGTAAGAGTCGGCAACGGGGACCTTGCGACGCTGCAGCTCAAAAGCGGCGTGTTGATTCAATCGAACGCAGATCAAGACCCCTAACGCGTCCGTCGTCTGTTCGATCAGCTGCTTTGTCAGGGCTTGCCCCAGACCAAAGACTGGTTCGAAAATCTCGACCGCCTTGCGCGAAATTTGTTGGAAGGTCAATGTCGAGAACATCTCGGTCATGAACGAGTATTCGGCAGACACATTATCCACAACGGCAAGATTGAAATTGCGGAATGGCACTTCAAGGCCATGGAAGGAGTTATCTTCCTCTGCTAGATAAGAAGAAATGGCAATCTGAGCACCAGTCCGCAGAATATCTACCCTCCTTCCTAGGGAAAACGGGTCGTGCGCCGCAGACCCTGCGCGACTGCCGGCAACTGCAGAGCCTAGGATTGTCAGTGATATATTATCACACGATTTCTCATTCGGCTTACCTGTTTTGTGAGCTGACGGGTCTCCTCCCAGAACCTCGTTCCGGTCACTGGGGTAAATCTTGATTGACTCGAGCGCTTGACGATACCGCGTGAAGTGCGACAAATAGTACCATCGCATAGTGTTGATATAAGCTTGCGTAATTTGCCCCGTAAGTGCTGGGTGGGCCCTGGAGATATAGCTGTATAGATCTTTGAATTTCACCAGCCGCTGCTGTTGGAGGATCTGAGCATTGATGTTGGGGGACCGTAGCGCTCTGATTTGAGACACCAAATAGTCCCTAACTCTTTCCACTGCCTATGGGAAAGGTCAACCTCAGCGTATAACACATGCACAAGGGCAATACTGACCTTGTTCTTGATGTCCGTGAGAAGCGGCCGCACGTCCTCGACGGATTTGGTGCTGTTCGAGCCCGAGACTTTGGCCTCAATGCTTGCCGACCGACTTTCCATCTCATTGAGCGCTTTGACCCAATTCTCATCGATCGGTCCCTCTGCAATCAACTTCACTGTTTTGGGAGAGATACTGATCTCTTCCACAGCAGGCCCAAGGAGCTGTTCAACATTGCGTCGGTTTTCCAACATTGCAGTCAGTTGGATTGAGCGAGACTGCAGAGTCTCTATCTCTGCCGAAACAGTCCCGAGTTCATTCTGGAAATCGTTCAAATATGTCTCCATCGAGCTCGAGACTTCGTCACAACTGGTGATAGCCGAATGTAGATCCTGAAACTTGTTCTGTTCTCTTTCGAACTGCTGAACGGTCTGAGCACCGACATCAATACTGATAATTCGTCTGGGTTCATCCTTCTTGGAGACAAAATCCTCCAAGCCCAGCCCTTGGAAGTCAACGTCCTCCACAAGTTCCGAAGGCTTCGAGTCGGGGACAACATCCGGAGACGAGTCCCGGTTGGCATTCTGCTTCCCAAGAATGCCATTCAGAACATCGAGCGGGTCAGCAACATCGGATGGGCGGGATCTTGCAGCGATTTGTCTCAGCGGCGATCTGTCACCACGTGCGGTTGCGGGAAGGGAGGTGGTCGAATCACTAGGAGTCAGGAGGACGGATAAGGAGGAAGTTTGTCGACTGGACCCGGGACGGTTGTTTTGTATGTTAGGCGATAAGCGAGAGGATGTTCTTCGGGGAGGAAGAGGGGAATTGCTGCGACTGTCAACCTGGGGCCCCGAGGGAGTCGAATGGCCAGCAATGCGGTCTAGCCACATCGTAGAAGGCCGGCACGGAGAAGGGTGCGGATACCGGACAGCTTCCCGGACCTCATTGACGGGGGGAGGGGAGAGAGGGAAAGGTGGATCAAAGGTGGGAAGGTTCCCCAAGAGGTAGAACTGACTTGACGAAGACGTGAGAGAAAAGAATGAGTGCTACCCAGCACCTGGTGAGAAGGAGAGAAGAGAAATCAAAGTCCGAAGTGGTGGGGAGTTTGCAAGCACAGCACACAGCACAGCACCGGGGAAGTATACGGAGACCAGCACAACTTAGCTTAAGATAAGCCCAGGGCGAGATGCTACGGTGACCCACAGCAACCACGGATGTGGTTTCTCCGACTCTAGCCCCAAAGCAGACTAGCGACCACAAAACCCCGCCACAACAAGTGCCTTTTTTTCGCAGTCCATTTGTCGATTTCTTTTCGCCTGTTCCCCCTCTCTCTGCCTTCCATCCATTTTTCTCTCCTTCTCCTCCTCCTCACTCCTCAGCGTCCTTTTTCCTTCCACTCTCTCTCTTCAGGTTTTCCTTGCATTTACCTTCAAATCCATCACCATGTCTGACGAGGTACGTTATGCCAGCATTACTATGCTCTGATTGCCGACACCCAATCCGGCATCTTCCATTGTTGCATCACTGCAACTGCTGGGCTTCTGGGCTCCTGGGCTCCTGGGCTTCTGGAAGCCTTGCTTGCATCGTGCACACCTTTCCCACCCCCACCTATATGTCCATTTGTTCCTGCAGGCAATGCATGATATCTTCCGTCTCTTGATTATACATGGTCGCCGTCATGCCTATCATTGATCTATTATTGACTGACCGCCGTTCTACAGCACCACGAGACCTTCGAGTCCGCCGATGCCGGCGCCTCGACCACCTACCCCATGCAGTGCTCTGCTCTGCGCAAGAACGGTCACGTTGTCATCAAGGGTCGCCCCTGCAAGATCGTCGACATGTCCACCTCCAAGACTGGCAAGCACGGTCACGCCAAGGTCCACCTTGTCGCCCTTGACATCTTCACCGGCAAGAAGTACGAGGATCTGTCTCCCTCCACCCACAACATGGACGTCCCCAACGTCTACCGCAAGGAATACCAGCTCGTGAGTGATCCAACGTGATACGGAACAATACAGTTACTAACACTTCCACAGCTCGACGTCACTGACGACGGCTTCCTTTCCCTGATGGATGAGGATGGAAGCACCAAGGATGATGTCAAGCTCCCCGAGGGTGAGATTGGTGACAAGATCGAGCGCATGTTCAGAGAGGAGGAGAAGGACTGCAGTAAGTGGAAATCCTATTATGTGACCATTCTCAATTCCGCATCTAACCATACCCTACAGACGTCACTGTCCTCACCTCCATGGGTGAGCAGTGCTGCATGGATGTCAAGGAGGCTCCCCAGGGCAAATAAACGCCTTAATCGTGTTCACGGATCTTGTGACTGCCCTGTCAGCTTTTCTGTGCTCCAAAATGGCCTTGCTGTCTTCGCCCATGTGTCAGGTCGGATAAGACACATGGTCACGTTACGACATAATCTGCTTCAATATAAACTTGGGTATGTGAGCCAGTGGCGCTAGTCACGTTCACTTGGCAGCATAAATCGTGCTCTGTCAGAGGAACAGCTCTTGAAATCAGCACCGTCACGATAGTTTTACGAATAAAAAACCTATTATTGTTCCAACCAGGTTTCGCGCTGTAGTTGTAGCATATACATGTCTTCGTAATCACGTCTGTAGTCACTTTGGAGTGATTTGCAATCATAATCTTTGGTTTGACCAGGTCTCGGCGAAAGAACATGGCCGTAAATTGCCAATCTTAAAAGGTTGTAAAGTGTTGTGGATACTGGCTATGTCACGGGTTGATGTACATTGTATGGTTGCGACATGGGGGAAAATTTTTGATCAGTACGGGAAACCCATCTTACCATTCGACATTGACCCGTCCATACCTTAGGGACTCAGGTCCTCACTTCTTCATCTACTCTGCTACCACAAGAATGAAGAGTACTGCCCTGGATGGAGTACATCACACGAGGGGTCTGTGGACAGGAAGGGTGCCGTGAAACGCGGTATTACCTTGACAATGGCCTCTGGTTTTGTAGGCGGGGTCACCAGCAAGAGGTATGAGATGATCATGACTTGCTTTCACAACCCCACCTTTAGGCGCGCTGCTGTTGCCGATCAGACCACCACGCCATCATCCTCTAGACAACTGACGTTATTATGCTTATAGGGGCGACAAGTGGAAGCGGATGCAGATGATTTTGGTACTCAAGGTCGAACGAGTCGCATAAAGAAAGCGGCGGTCGAAAAGGCCCAAAGGAGTAAGCATTCACAGACGCCCGCGGCGACGGTGGACCTCAAGTCATGCATCACTAACATCAGGCAGCGTACCGGGGTCGTCAGGCATCTCGTCTATTTCTGCAAGTCTATCAACTGATTCTCTGGAAACAATCTTACACCTTGGTCCAGAGCCGCGGCTTTCCGCCAGAGTTTGAGGTATGCCTGCAGTGCACGCTTTTCCTTTCCCAATCCGGAAATACCCGTGTTCACCGTCTGTATGCGACTAACCGGGTCAACACATAGAATGTGATTCGAGACCTTTGGGCGCTCCATCTGGATACCTTCGCGGACCAGATCAATGAACTGTCAGAGCTGGATGATGAACCGCGATTCTTCAGCTCCCAGCCTGCTTCCAGCTTTGATGAACCTCCAGAGGCGAAGCTCGGTACCACGCAGACGAAATGGCCTCGACTTATCGATAGTGTGGCCCTATGCTATATTGCCGCGCTGCTAATGAGGCTTCCTGTGAGCATTGAGGATTTCCATGGGTATTTCCACCCTGACAGCTCGTTTCGTTATCGTTCATACACTGACCTGAGCTCGATATAGGATGGCCATACGGGGAGAGATGCCCTTTATCAGAATCATCAAAGATATTCCCCGCGAGATGCGCGATCGACTCCCTCCGCAATTTATCGCCATTCTTGAAACTACGGTAAGTCCTGGCTGTCATCACGAACGGAGCGTTTTTTATGTCCTAATCGTGAGATAGAAATTGATTCAGGCCGAGCATCTTCATGGAGCCGTGGCAGATCTCCTTTCGTACTATCACCATCGATTCGACATGCAATTTCCGCCTTTGAACTGGCCCTTCTTGCTGTATAGATACATTAGGAGGCTTGCGCTGCCGAGTGAGTGGGACCTTGCTAGCATGTTACATTGCATCCTAACCATGTGTGTCTAGTCGACATCTATCCCGCCGTCAAAAGGCTACAGCACCTGCTGGGGTTCTCTTTCGCATACCCCACGGGTACAAGTGGCAGGAGAAGACCACTTCAATTGCCGGAAGTACAAGTGGTTGTCCTGATTGTCATTTCTACCAAGCTTCTATTCCCTTTCGACGACTACAACAGATACCCTCTTTCTTCGAAGGAACCTTCTGTTCAGGTCATCGACTGGATGCTTTGGGCACAGAACCAACGGATTTTTGACCGTGGGAGGACCTCTGACGGTATGCTGGGCAAGGGGAATGAGATCTCAGTGACCGAAAAAGACATAATGAGCATGACCCCGTCCCAGATAGATGAGTATATGGATTGGTACGAGAGCTCCTGGCTCGACCACAGCAAAGGTAATACAATCCCTAAACTGCTTTTCTTTAGGGCGTCTAGACTGACTTCGACCTAGCACAAAATCCATTGGCCAGCTTCTTCCCAGTCAGTGTCAATGCAAGTGAGAGTCAGACAGCCAGCGCTTCCGTAGAGGGGAATGATGCGGAGGCTCTGCTTTCGATGCTGCGAACCTCTACGAGTCAACTGAAATCTACCAAGGTCATCACCGGGGAGAGTATTGATACACCCCGACCAGGCTCCGCCTACGCGCGCTACCGAACGGAGGCCGATCTTCCTGATACGGCAAGGCCCTTCTTCGAGACTACTGCCAAAGTAGCTGGAATCTCGCTCTCCACTCTTGTCAGGGCGGTGTCGCAGGCGGAACATAAGATAACCAGATGGCTGGAAGAGCACCGACGGGTTGAAGCGATCAAGGATACGTTGGACACGGACTCCTCCAGAGAAACTAGCGAAATGGATGATCGAGATGTCTGAGACTGGAGAATGAGAATGACGAGATGTACATCTACAAGTGAGAATGCAGCTGCGTGGACTGTGCTTCTTTGGCGGGGATGAATATAGAACGCAGTGTGAGAGCCTCGGCCTGTCCATGAAGTTCCCAGAGAGCCAAGGCTCATATCAATGGAGAGAATACGGTCTCAATCACGAGGTCAAAAGAACTGAGGAGTAGTGGGCATGACCGTGGACGGCTGCAGTATTGAGGAATATCGACCAACCAGGATGCAATGGTCTAAACTGCATACCCGCAAACTTGATAATCTGAAAGCCTGGTGCAACTACGCGTGTGCCAAATAAAGAAACCAGAGAGCTCCGTTCGATGATGTATGGATGATGGATCGGTACCGTATTGTATGGCAGACTATGGACTATGGAGACATGCGGAGGGGCGCCCCGAGCGGAACGGACTGCCCTAAACCCTGATCACGTGCGGAGCCCGTCCACCTCTTGCTAAGCGAGAAATGGTGAAATTGACATCGCCTCTTCCGACCGACCCATTCAGCGAGATCGTCAGCCAGCAACAACGAAGACCGCAGCCAGTACGTATAGCACTACCATGATGAAGAGGGATATATTCAAGTCTGGGAAATCGCAAAACTAACATGCCGTTTTTTCCGCGCTCGTACAGTGCAGATGTAGGTCTTCCCCAGAGCAAAAGTCTTAAACCCGTCACGAATACTTCCCAATGCCATACAACGCCATTCGATCTCGAAAAAGGAGAAGAAACCGGGAACACCTTTGGAAAATGACATGGTGGAGGGAATTCCAGGAGGGGAAGAGAACAATTCGCTGACCAGTGGTTCTTTTCGAATTCCATAGTTTCGTCAAGACCCTCACGGGTAAGACCATTACCCTCGACGTCGAGTCGAGCGACACCATCGACAACGTCAAGACCAAGATCCAGGATAAGGAGGGTATCCCCCCGGATCAGCAGCGTCTCATCTTCGCTGGTAAGCAGCTCGAGGATGGCCGCACCCTGAGCGACTACAACATCCAGAAGGTATGAGCGACTCTTCCTCCGAAACATGATTCTTTTTCGCACATCGGTTCAGACGTTCTATGTTCGCTGCGCCTGGGGTCTCGGGGTTATTGGATTGGAAAGATGTTCTGGGGTATTCGATATGGAAAGCTACGGTCGCCTTGCGTCAATCTTTGGTGACGAATATCCTGTCTGGTTGATGATGGGGCGTTTGCTTGTGTCAAGTCCTTCGGGACCGCGTGCACCTTTACATTCCATCATCCTTGGAAGAATATCACCCTCGGAAACCTCACCCAGCGCTGCGAACCACGAACGATCCGACCAGCATGTGCGATCAGGGAGGGAATTCCGTTGGCTAACGCAATGCTCGTCAAATAGGAGTCCACCCTTCACCTCGTCCTCCGTCTCCGTGGTGGTATCATCGAGCCCTCCCTCAAGGCCCTCGCCTCCAAGTACAACTGCGAGAAGTCCATCTGCCGCAAGTGCTACGTACGTTCCCATCCATTCCCTTCAGGATCGACCTCCCAGCGGCTACCTTTCACCTTCTCTGCGCAACCGACCAATCCATCTAACATGTCCCAAATAGGCTCGTCTCCCTCCCCGTGCCACCAACTGCCGCAAGAAGAAGTGCGGTCACACCAACCAGCTCCGCCCCAAGAAGAAGCTCAAGTAAACGATTCTCCTGTTACGGTTTTTCTGCGTTGCTGGGGGGAGGAAAGCGCTGCTGGGGTTGTTACGACCGGATTGCAACGTAGGGTATTACACGGCGTTGGAATGATAAAACATTATGGCCGAAGTCAAATGTCCATAGTTGGCTGCTCGGAAGAAGTTGCAATCGAAATACAATTGTAAAATTCAAATTCCCTTTGGTCCATTTTGATTTATTGTGGAGGGAAAAGTAGGAAAGGTACACATCATACACGCAGTGCTGTCGCGCCGCTTTGGGAAAGTTGAAACAAATAATAGAGGAAAACATACTTAACATTTGTCGCGCGCCACAACGGATTTGAAATAGCGTTTTTCAGAATAGGGAAAAGTCATGGACCTTTGACATGGGTGCTACCTGAGCACAAGCGTCTGAACTGGGGTCTAGATGCGGGCCCTTTTCCTGCTTTCTCGATAAGATGTGACTTCCTGGGTCACTAATGACGCCCATGTTTTCTTTTTCCGTCTTTCCCCCACAGCCCTTCCCAGCCTAGAACATGAGCATCTGCGCCTTGCCATCATTGTTATCATCGCCGTCGCTCTTGTTCTTCTTCGAGACCGGGCTTCCGTGACTGTATTTGCATTTTCATGTATTAGCAAGCCGTGCCAATTGTATCATGGAAGACCCAAGGATTCGTAGAAAAAGAGATGTGGAAAAGGAGGGAACTCACGCAAAGAACAAGATCTTGATGGCCAAGGCAAAGCCGGCATGCAGCAGGACGACCAGGATCAGCAGGATCTTGCTGGCCTTGGCGTCGGTGGCGCTGAGCACGGGGTAGAGGTTGCGCAGGAGGAAGAAGACGGACCAGCCGAAGCCGACGCCGACGAGGGCCCAGTTCAGGGCGGTGAGGGGGCTCCAGCTGACGAGGGCGACGGCGATCCAGACGAGGTTGGAGTAGCCGTAGAGCGCCCACGACTCGACCAGGTCGGCGCTGGAGCTGCCGAACCAGCGGAGCGCGCCCCAGAGCGCGACGGGGAGGACGCCCGTGTACCCGTACACCAGGCCCGCGGCGCCGGACAGCAGCGTGAAGTCGTAGGCGAAGTGCGCATCGTCGTTGTTGCTCAGCCACTGCGAGATCGTGCCCGTCAAAAACAAAATCACCACCACCGTCGTCGCGATCCAGAACGGCCCGTACAGGTCCGGGTTCCCCTCCAGCACGTCCAGGAAGTTGTTGCGCGGGTACACCGTCGCCACGCACCGCCGCAGCACCTCGTTCGTGTCCACGTCGAAGAATTGCGCGTAGTAGTGGATCGTCCACCACGTGTGCTTCGTCGGCGTGCCCCCCGGCGACCGGTCCCGCCGGCCGCCGCCGCTGCGCGAGGTGCTGTGGTCGCCTCCGCCGCCGCCTAGGAATGGGGTCGAGTCTTGTTGGATTTTGGCGGTGCGCGGGTCGTTCTCGAAGTCTGGATTTAGGGTAGGTGGTAAGTAGAGGGTTGGGGGTTGTGAAGATCTGCTATGGAGTTTGGCCTTACTCGAACGGTGGAATTCAAGGTCCTCCTGAAGGTCGGTGTGGCCGAGGTCGCCCTGTGGATTTGGTTAGAATGACATTAGCTGGGATTCCCTGGGATGATTGTCAATGTTCCCTCAGTGATGCAGTGGTGCATTGCTTACCTCGGCGTCCACGTCGACTACCACATCGTAGCCCTGGTTTGCCATCTGGAGGGGGGCTGGTTTATTTGGAATTGCCAATGGAAAGGTGGTTTCGTTGTGGTGGTGCAGGTTGCGGGAGTTCGTTGCAACTGAAGAGTACACATCAGCGAACAAGCGGCTCGGGAAAGCCACGCACCAGCCACCATTTATGTGGAGCTTGGCTCTCCATGCCGCCCGCTGCTGAAACCACTCAGCTACGTACTCGTATCAACGTCCGCATGGACAAGATGGCGAAATTTACTTTGCAATCATGCTGGATCTTGGGCCTGGGGGAATGTTCGGCCATACAATCACTTTTGTAATTTATACACTCATGTCCAAAAGTTCTATGCCAAGGGGGCAATTAGTACTGTATAGTATACAGCTCTAGATACAACCATCATAGACAGTCTATCCTCCTCTAGAGATATTCGGATGAGAAGAGACGGCACTATTGAGCTAGTCACAAATAGCCGCGGTGCTGCAATGTCGATTTGAGTCGACCCAGATAGGACCAGATGGTACTGTCGAGTCCCTTGCGTCTTATATAGATCGACATCGCCCCAATCAAGACGGTGACGGCCACCGAACCGATTGCTCTCCTGTGGTTCCATAGGAACGCAACTGCCTTTTCTCTGCCCTCCTCGTAGCGTAGCTGCCGTGTTTGCTGTCTGAAGTATTTAAGAGCTTCATCTTTGCTATGAGTAGGCACGAGTCCCCTGGATGTCTTGAGGGCGCTGCATGATGGGACCTGCTTCCAAGCCCCGAATGGCAACGATTCCGGCGGATAGTCTTTGAAAAGTCGGACGGCAGCTAGGATCAAACCGTCAAGGTCTAGAGGATTGGGTAATTTTGATAGGGTGAAGTGGAGCATCTCTGGCTCTTCTTCGGGAATTTCAAGCAGTTCTTGCTTGCGGGAGAGAATGATCGCTGCGAAGAGGTATGCCGACACCACGGGTTCCTCAGCTAGCAGGAAATCGAACAGGCGAGCAATGTCGCTATACTCCTGGATATCATGTGCATACAAGGTCAAAGTCGCCGCGAGGGCAAAGAAGGGTTGGATCCCGGCAAGGTGATGGCGTAATGACGAGTCGGCCAGCTCAATAATCGCCGGCAGTAGTTGTAAGTGTTTCAAGGCAGGAGAAAGAGTCGGGAGCATGTAGTCTCGGATCCGCAGGAGCGAGATCTGCGCAACGGCAGGAGCAGCCTCATGGCCGCCAAGCACAAGATAGAGCACTTGCACGATATCATGGTACCCTTGGAAGTAGCACAGCATTGGATATTTCCGCAGAACTTGCTTGATGAGTTGAGAAAGCTCATCTTTCTTCCTCGAGATCTCCTCTTCAGAACCTATTCCAGTGATTAGTTGGCGAGGTGCTGAGTTGGCCGAGGGAAAGCATACCATCAGGGTAGTAGACGAAAGACCGATTTACATCTAGCTGGATCTGCTCCTCGTCCACATGCGGTGGCAGGTCTTCCCACCCCGTGAAGTCGTGAACAGACTCTCTTCGATCGCACTGAAGGAGAATGGGCCCTGAACAGGTCGGATGTCAGTCACGTAAGGCAGAGTTTCGAGGTTACAGGGACTTACAAGCCACTCGTCTAATATCGTCATTTAAGAAGCCACCCTCAGAAGTTGCATAGGAAACCAATGCGTCGAAGTCACGCAGGTCGCATGCTTGGCGGATGGCGTTCGCCTTTTCAGTTGCACGAGCTTCAAGTTCCTCCTCAACCGACGAGTCGGTCGTATGCAGAGATTCCTCGGTTACTATGCTGCTCTGCTCCTTCTCGTCGACCGTGTCCGGGTCGCCCGCCGGCTCGCTGACCTGGGGCTGGTGATGATCCATTATTGCCGGGGCAGGCAATGGGATGTTGTGGCCAGCCTCGTCCAGTAACTCACCGTGCCGTTTGAGGCTAAAGGTGACAAAGATGTTGTATGGAGACGAGCTCAGGAAAGACAGACGGGGTCCGTCCGATAATGTACTAAGGCGATTATCTATAAATCCACCTTAATGCGCACTAGGCAAGATCGGCAAATGGAGATACTTTGCATGCAGATGACGATCGAACCTCAAGTCATTTCGATAAGTCGGCTTATTGTCAGTCTATGTTTGGGCAAGAGGAACCCTACAGTGCCAGCCTGATGCCATCGGGTACTGGATTAAAGAAGATAGTTGGAAGAAATGTTCCAAGGAAAAAGAGACGAGTGGTCTTTGACATCCGCGGAAGTGGCTGCAATCGAATCCCAAAGGAGATGTTTTGAAGCCTTGCAGCCTTAGGCCAAGAGGCTGCACCCTCCGACCGCCCAAAGAAGAAGTAAGGGAAGCCGCAGGCATCGAACAACTACGGAGTTAGTCTAAGTTACGGAGTACCTAGTAATGATCCGCGTCAACCGTCAACCCCTCCGGCAAGTTGTGCACATCACGTCACTATCTTCGCCCTTGTCATTGATAAGGCTGGACAATAAATAGAGTCTACCATCAATCGATTGATTTTTATTTCTCCTGTATCTGTCAGTTATAGCCTTGACCTGGCCAGGAGACTGAGCGCACTCCTTCACCATGCGTGCCTGAAAGCACAGCTGCAAGTTTGGAGGTAGCGAGCGGCCTATGGCATCATACCTACCAGAACTAAACATACCCGCTAGTCGATTCTCCCACAATCTGCCCGCGCTGGGATTTCGCGGTTAGCAACTGCAGCCAAAACCGCAAGGCTGACGCGCAATTCCTTGAATCTCAGACACGATTGAGATTGACCGGATCACGGGATCACGGCTTGGGCGACACTCAACAATATTATGAGACACTGATATCGTTCCTATTATCAGCGCGCAGCAAGTGGTGTCTGCAGACCCTTGCATTGTAGGCTTTCTTCCCCCCCCACAAAGAACATGTGTTGATCTGTTTTCAGAATTAGCTCACGGATTAGCTACAACATATTATTCCTCCTTTGCATGACGGCTATTCATGTTTCTGCAGATCGTTTCTTCCAGCTACATTTGCGGAGAGACCTCGCGTTCGCTGTCCACTCAGTCTTCGGCTTTTGCTCTACTCGTTTTCGGAGTGGCATGCGGTTCCTGGACTGTCTTGAGCATGGTTAAGGCAGGACCGCACGAGCCGTAGTGTCATCAAATCTGGGATTTCTCAAGGTCTCCTTCATTTTGTAAAAGAGGAATTTGAACCCGACAGGCGCTTGAGGTTATTCGCAAAGCTTGCTCAATTCAGGCCACGCTACTACATTTCTAACCGCTTAGCCAGTCTTGTCAGACAGTACTTTTGCGGCGCTTGTTATATTATCATCCGTCGCTGCAGGCCTTTCTTATAGACCCTATGGCGCAACCGAGGATAGATCCAGGTCTAGCTGGAAACCACCCTGAAAATGCCCACAGTGGAGAGCCGATGGATATCGAAGCAGATGACATCTATGCAAAGCCCCAAGCTAGAGTGGGACTACTCTCGCACACTCTCGTGCCAAGCCCGATTATACAGTGGATTCTACCTGCGCGTCTAAGAGGGAAGCATCAAAATGATGTCGTGTTCGTCGGCGAGAGATGCCTTCAGATCAAGGAGGCAGTGTCCGGCGTACATCTTGAGGAAGTCACAAACAAGAATGACTTTGACTCATACATCATGGCAGCCAAGGTCATCAACGTGAGCACAGAATTACCCTGGGAAGCACAGATGAAGTTGAGCGATAGTAGATCCACCATGTCAGCAGATGCAGCCATGCATAAGGACTTGCCGCCTCAAATTCTGGTGCTTAGTCTCGCATCGAGAGAGCTCACGTTCCTGTACTACTGGAATGCTGGCGAACAGTTCATATACCACCATCGTCCATTGCCAAATGATGTCAGTGCCTTTGAGAGGTTTGGTCGAAACATCGCTGTAGAGCCGAGGTGAGTGTTCCCGGTCAGAAAGATGGTCATTGGACTGAGAATTTTGGCAGATCTCGAGTTGTTGCAGTTAGTGCTTCTTCGGACTACTTTGGAGTTTTCGTACTCAAGGAGCCTGCTGTCCTTCAGTCACAGATGGCACAAAACAAACTGGACCCAATAGCAGAGGTATGTGCACAACGTCTATCAAAAACAATCTGCGGCCACTGACCCCCTTGTCTATGAATCTAGGAACGCTTCTTTCGTGTCGACGGCGATATCATCTCAATGGAGTTTTTATATCCTACTAATGAGGATGGAGATAAGATCATCTTACTTCTACTCATCGCCCAGGATCACGTCACGTATGCCGTCTGTTATGAATGGAACGCCTATGAGTCGCTACGACAAGCAGCCCCAAAAGTGACCAGAAAAGTGCTGCCGCTTGAGGACAGGCTACCTACCATGCTCATCCCCTTGACTAAGACGTCATCATTCATTCTCGTCACTACAACCTCGATGGCTGTATACCAGAATAAACTCGATCCTCAAAGGCAACCAACTAGATACCCGCTTCCAGTTCCTGATCGTGAATCTCAGCGACAACCACTTTGGACCAGATGGGCAAGGCCTTTACGCAATTGGTTATACAACCAAAAGCACGACGACATTTATTTGTGCCGGGAGGACGGCAGGGTCTTTTATTTGAGTGTCGGCAATGAGGGCGAAGTGGAGAACCAAACTCATCTAGGACAGCTATGCTGCGATGTTGACGCTGCGTTTGATATCTTGGATATCGGATACGAGGGCGGTGATCTACTTCTTGCAGCCGGCACGACAGGAGATGGCGGGCTTTTTGTTCAGAAGGCCAGGGATCATCCAAGGTGTGTTCAACGTTTCATGAACTGGACGCCAGTCACGGACTCTGCCATTGTCAGGGATGACATCGCCTCGAATTCGGGGGCTTCCAGTGATCGCTTCTTTGTTTGCTCGGCTTCTTCCTACGCGCGCGGGGCTGTGGTTGAGCTCCGTCATGGCATTGAGGCACAGAGTGGTCTAGTTGTTTCTCTAGAAGAACTCTTGAGCACGACGGGCATTTGGATCATGTCAGACGGTATGAATGGAGGCATCTTCATATTGACATCTGATCCAGTTTCTTCAATGCTTTTATATTTGGCAGCTGATTTTATGGAGGAGATCTCTGCTATCGATGAAAAAGACTCAGGCCTCGACTATGGCACACA